TCTGCTAGAAACCCTGCATTATGTTTATTAACATGTATGTACATGTTTGAAATATATCAATTAACTTGTTACTGGAATGTACCTCAATATCACATTTTTCAGAAAACTGTTATTCAGTGGAGAAACAGAGTACATGTGCCCCACCCCCTGGGGCACAAAAGCCAAGTGACAAAGACATTGAGTGAGATACTCAAGGTATTAAGAAGAAATAGAGGAACTGTCCCCCACAATGTAGAAATCCTTGTCTAAACCACCTGGTTATGTCCTGGGTCACACCTACAAAATTACTTAACATCTCCTTCAAATTATGCAGAATAGCTACAGATTCAGGAAACATTGATTTAGGATCTTTTCAGTATAATAAAAGAAAAATTAAGAAATTATTTGTCACTGTAAACTGTAAACTCCAATCAATAGATCAACAGCTATATTAGAAAGCATGAAATGTAAGGTTTTACTCCGACTGCTCAATGTTTATAATAATTTAGAAAATGAGTATTAGAGAAAAGATGCAATTTGGTCCCATATGGTCGAATGTAACATAGAACATTTCTAAAATGTTATAAACTGTAGAAAAGTTTATAATGTGATTAATTTCTAGCTTGCACAACATACTCTGGAGATCATTGTAAAAGATAACAATGAAACATAATTGACAATGAATTTTTGCAGAACAGCTGTAGGCTTGAACATGTATAAGCTAATTTCAATGTAAATATTAACATCTCTATAAAACTGCATTTCTCAAAAAGGGTGAAATCAAGCAGCAAGGGCCAACAAGTTTGGAGGTAACAGAACATCTTTTTTGGTCATTTGTCGTATTTCTGTTTTAGGCACTTACAGATTACACATGGATATCCGACAGCAGCAGAATACTGTAAAAAGAAAAGCAAAAACTTGCTGCTGTTTTTAATATACGTTAAATTTGTTTAATAATTGGCTTGAAATAATATAAAAATGACATCACTTTAAGGCTCCCTAATTCAATGTATTGTCTAAAAGGTACACCTTACATAGTCATTAATCTGAAGATGGCTCTAATCACCAAGCTTCAGAGGATATTTAGAAGGACCACCAATTGCTTGCATCCCTAGCATTTATTTTATTTTATTATTATTTTTTTTAATGGCAGTGATCTATCTCCCTTCTTTGGTCAAAAGGAGAAAGAGGGAGAGAGAGGGAAAAAGGGACTTCTCTGTAGAAAGACTTGGCCTTGGAGTCAGGACTTTCAAGATGTGCTAGTGATCTTGGATCGATGCCTTTTTATTTTCTTTCAGGAATAAATCTGAGCAATGGAATGTCTTGCGATTGTCCAGCCAACCAGCCATATCAGATTTATCAGAAAGAAAGAATGAGAACTGGCTCAGAGGACTCCTGCAGTGGCTGAGTGGCAGGTTGCTGCTAAAAACACACACAGAAAAGAATATGCTTTGTGGTGGACGGGAAAATATACATTCACATGTGTAAACTCGATAAACAATAAGATGTAAAAAAGGAATCTATAGTTATGGAAAGGGTGAATGCATAAGACAGATGATAAATAGTACTTCTATTTAAGAACCAAAGGGAAGAAAGCTCATGAATGCTAAATATTTGAATCCACTTTAAGGAGGAAATATGATTTTTCCTCAAATGAATGCAAACTCTAAAATTCAGCCAGTACAGACTTACTGTGTTCAGGTTAAAGTAAAAAATACGTAAATCTTCCATGAAGCACATGCCCTGGTAAATATTCTAATGTAATTTCTTAATTAAGACACATTTCCAGTGACTAAATGAAAAATATATATAAAGCAGTAAGTGCCTTGATTTTCAAAAAAAATTGACTTTGGATGCATGCATGATTAAAATAAATAAAAGTGATGTCATTTGAGAAGAAAATCAGAAAACAGGAATCATGACACAACCAAGAATCTTTCAGTTTTTATCCCAACAGTCCATATTAGAGTGTTTCCCAGTGATGTGCAGTTATAGTAATCAGTATAAATTTATTAAGAAGCTTCCTGAAGAAAAAAAATACCTTCTTAAAAGACCCATTTGACATATATAAGTTCAATATTAAAAGAAGAAAAAAAAGGACCAGTGTACCTATGGGTGTGCTAACAGCAAACACACGAAGGAAGAAGGATTGATGGTTTTTTTTAAATATATATATATATAATTAACATCTTTTAACTAAGTTTTATTAAGCTTTTTCTTCTCAAATGTAAAAACAGCCCCTAAGATTGGAGGTATATCTTAAATATGTAGGAAACTGTATGTTCTTTTATAGAATGGAAAGCAGGACTAAGTTGCTTGCAAATAAGAAATAGGCACTGAATTTCTCCATCACTTAACTATTAAGGTGTGTGAGACCATCAATTCCAAACTACTATATAGATCATTTCAACCCAGAGGTAATACTGATTATTGTTCAATCACACCAGGAAGACAGAAAATTTGGAATTATTGCTTTAGTGATACAGGCTTTAGAGTAGCCACATAAAAGGCCCTTGGCTATAATATTTCTCGATAAAATGAATCACTTGGAAATGAGGCAAAGTCCTTTCCCAATTACAGAAAACAATCTCTAAAGCTGATTTTTTTTCCGAGCAAAAGAACAACAACAAAAAAAGGTCCTCTTCAGTTACAATTATTTTAATATCTTAAATCTATACAAGAGCATCGCCGCCCCCTTCCCCGCATACTTTAATTCTGTTCACATCGAGCAGTAAATAAGGTGCATTCCTTCTGCTCCTTAAGAAATTAGCATTTCAAAAATATGCCGCTTTCCCCTGAACTCCAAGCGTGTCTAATAATGCAAGAAGCAGATTGTCTTCCCTCGTTTCCTTAATTTGTTTCATCTAAAAGCAATTCACTCAACATCTTGTCGCCCTCTGGCAGCTTAGTTTACTTATCCGCACTTAATTTCTCATTTGGACCAAAACAAACTCCTCCAGACCGCTCCTGACTGCTAACCACGCGAGGGGAGACGAAGTAGCTGCGTGTGCTCGGCCGCGGACACGCGAGTCTGCGCTCGCGCCCCGGACGGTAACTTGGTTTTATAAAAAGCGCCGCGGTAACGCCGGGGGAGCTGTCCCCGCCAGGTGCGGCCGCCCGCGGGAGGGGCGGGGTGAAGCCGCGGTCCCCGCGGGCAGGGACGGTTCGCAGCCGATCACCTGAGCGTGGGTGTTGCAATTACACCGGGGATGCGCCCGACAGCTTTTCTTTGTGCGGCCCTTTCATCCCGATCACTTTGTGCTCCGAACAAGTGAGGCTCGCCTTTGTGTCCCCAGAATTTCAAGTGCAGAGCCGCGCAGGGAACAACAATGGCACGCTAATCCTCGCGCTCCAAATGGGCTCACTTGTGGGTCTGACAATTCGGGAGGGGGGGGAGGGTG